CCCACTCTTGATGGGGCTTGAAAACTAAATTTAATATTCCAGACTTATTTGGAATACTAGCACCTAGCAAAGTACAAGGAAGACAGTAAGCTCCATCTTCTTTGCTAGAATAAGCTAACCAAGAAAACTGGCTGAGCCATTCAAATTTAAATGATCTTTTTGTATTAAAAGATATTGGAAAAACAAACATAGAATTAGGACAAAATACTTTGTTTACCATATCTGACAAAATAGAATCATCTTTGCCAGCAGTTAAAAGTTTACCTCGAACAAGATATGTTGAAACATCATACAAAGAATTTAATTCATTATATGAAGGAATAATAACTGAGTTGGAGTCTAATGACTTAACTATTTTTGAATCTACAGAAGGTTCAAAAGGCAACTCTATGAAAGCATTGTCTTTTTTAAAGTTAATTTTAGATTAAATTTTGACATGTTTTGCAGAATCAAGTTGTTGTTTTTTATTTGTTTCAGTTTTAGGACTAAAAAAGTGTAAAGGATAAGTAGTATCGTTTTTTATAGCCAAATTCTTATTATTACTAGAAATTAGTTTAGGTTTTTTAATAATTGGTACAAAATGGTTCGGTGTCCAGTTATCATTATTTTGCATCACTGACATAATATCAGTATTACACTATAAAATATTTAAAACATTTTGATCTTGATTTTTAATTGAACGAAATGGAAAAATAATTGTCTTAAAAAGTTTTTTGAATTTTTCTAAGCCAAAATCAGTATAAATTAATCTAATAGGAATATATAAAACTGATGAAAAAGCAATTAGACATAAAAATGAAGAAAACTTGTTAGCTCGGCAGTTGATCAATGCTTCCATTATTATAATTTCAGAAGTAGATTCACTGTTAATTAATTTAAATTGATCTGAACATTCAAAAGAAACACAGGCTACTAGAACACTGGAAAGATTAAAAAAATTATTGTTTTTAACCTATTTAACAAAAAGGGAGTACCTCGCATAGTAGCAAACTTTTTCAAACAATTCAATCGAAGTTAGAAGCCTCAATACAATAACTGTCTTCAGAGACGAATTGCTTAAAAGTAAAGCTGAACTGTAGAGGCATGCCTCTACAGTTGCCAGAGGCATGCCTCTACTTTTTATTTTATTGAAGGTCATCTGAAGATGGAAATTGCCGGCAATTTCCATCTTCAGATGACCTTAAATAAAATAAAAAGTATACTAAAACAAGCTCAGTTTATATTAAATACTAGCTGGAAATATAAAATACCATTAACTTTAATAATAGGGTTTTACCTTAAAGCAACATAATCTTTAGTATCTTCTTGCTTTGGGATAAAACGATCCATTTCAGTATTTTCAGAAGACTGACTATGTGGCTGAACTGGACTCTTATTATTTAAAACTTTCAATTCTTCAGTCAACTGGTTTTTATATTTGCGAATATTTGGCAAATGTCTAGCCTTAATTGCATTTGAGACTAAAAAATTCATTTTTTTTTAAAACTTTAGTTTACAAGCAAAGTCCAACGACGAAAATTACGAGCGAAGAACGTATATCAGGCGGCATATCAGAATTTTGTAAAATTTGAACGATTTGGAGCAACTGATGCAATTGTTCTAAACTTTCTACAAATTTGATTGGTTATAAATAACATTTCTAATCTTTTTTGTAAAGTTTTTTGCGGAAGTTTTGTAGCAACTGATGCAATTGTTATTTTATTAAATAGTGATTGGTTTAAACTGTTTTTTAACCAATCATTAATGATTTAGAGTACAATTGCATCAGTTGCTACAAAGTGATCGGAAAAATTTGTGAAAAAATACAAATATGATTGGTTAAAACGTACTATTTTTTTTTTAAAACCAATCACATTTGTATTTAGTTAAGAACAATTGCATCAGTTGCTCCAAAACGCAGGAATTTTGTCTAAGTAACGAATAAGTAACTATAGAGATCGAATAAGTAACTATAGAGATCAAATAAAATTGACTTTAAATGATTTTTTTTCGAGTTTAAAACAAGTTTTTCATTTTTTGTGAATACCAGATTCCAATTTCTCCTTTTACTTTTTATTAAGAAAAAAAAGTGAAAAAGAGATACACTTAAATTTAGCGGTGAAAAAAGACTGATGCATGCGCATCATTCGCGACACCCTGGATCCGCCCCTGTATATATATATATATATATATATATATATATATATATATATATATATATATATATATATATATATATATATATATATATATATATAAATATATATATATATATATATATATATATATATATATATATATATATATATATATATATATATATATATATATATATATATATATATATACATATATCATGTTTTATCATTTTTTATAGGATTTCGCTAAAAATGAAACAATGGATGTTAAAAGTGTGTGTGAATTTTTTCTAACAAGATGAGAAGAAAAAAAAAATAAAACATTAAAGTTGAAAATACCGACAGTGACAGCGGCTGCTATTTGTTATGAGTCAAATTTAGGTCGAATGACTTATACTCAGCAGAGAAAAATGCTAAAAGCAAACAGTATAGATGTATTTCCAATCTGGAATGAAATTCAATTGTTCCAAAATTCTATTACTTCATTGACAACAAGTTATCTTCCAGATCCTTTTGTTGGTGTCTGCAAGTTTTATTGAATCTACCAAGATAACTATTGAGAGAATTTTGAGGCTTGAAGGTATTTCCGTTTCTTCTAGAGGAAACAGCAATACACTAGAAGTAAAATTCGGCTACGATGGAAGTGGTAGACACAAAATTTACAACCAACTGCACAATGTTAACACAAGCAACATTATTATGGCAATGTTTTGTCGACTTAAAATTTTAAATCATGAAAGTATTAGATTGTGGCAAATGCAACATTTTTTTTTTTTTTGAAAACATGATTTGTTGTAAGAAAATAGACAAAATAATTTATAATAAAGATTGTTACGCTGTTAACAATCATGCTAATTTTTACTTTTTTGTGCTATAGCTTGTAGTCTAGCTATAAAAAAAAATATTTTTCAACATATTATTCAAATTTTAACCTATACTGTTTGATAGCGATTTTGCAAAACTACTTAACTTATTAGGCATTTATTTACTTTGTCATAAATAATAAATAATGTCGATAATAATAAAAAATATATAAATAATAAAGTATAGACATTAATAAAAGTAATATTTATTCATATTTTAGTTAATTTCAAAATTTATAAAAATTGTTATGTTATTATCAATAAATTTGTTTTTCTATTGATATGATAGATTTAATATTTTTGTCTTTAAAAATTTATTTTTAAAAACCAATCATAAAAACTATGATAACTTTTATTATAAAATGGTGTTATGAAAAAAAGCTCCAAATATTTCAACTCTATGGACAATGTGTAGTCAATAAACAATTAATATGCACTTAGCAACCTGTAAAATCGACATTATTGTGATACCAAGAAATATCTAACAGCTTGGTAACAGGCTGGAGAGGATGGGGTTCCATTAATGAAAGCACAATTACCCTAAACTATTTTTTAAACAGTTCGAGTTTTTTTTTTTTCAAAATGGCATAGATGCAGTGTTATAACATTTTATTATTTGTGAGTGTTACAATTCAAGACATTGTTTTTAAAATAGTTAAATATTCAATAATAAATAATAAATTTAAAATAGTTGATTGTACAAAATTCATACAACAAAAGACATACCATTGAGACAAACCAAAGAAAAAAAATAACCCTAACAAAAATTTTTATTGTTAACTTGATAAAAACAATATAGTAGTACAAAATGACAATATCATGAACAACCGTAAAATGGTTGATAATGAACAACCGGTTGATAATGTGTTACTTGTAAACATTATTTGTATCTTTTTGTTGTGTTAGTTGTGTAGGATAAACATTGCAAAAAGTAAAGTTTTTGCATAACTATCATTTAGATTCTTCAAACCCACTAGATGTTGCTAGCAGAGTTCATGTCAATAAAGGTAATAAGAGTAGTTCAAAGTTATTACTTTAATTAATCTTAAATAAAAAGTGTTTTAGAAATTTAATTTTACACTATTTTTTAATTATTACAGATTTAATAATTATATAATAATAATAAATAAATCAAAAGTTACTAGCAGATGATAATGATGATGATGATGATGATAATTGATGTTTAGATATATCAGAGGTATGCACAGCACTAAAAAATTAATATCTAAAGTATTATGGCAAAATAAATGAACTTCAACCACTATTAAAAACACCTGCTAATGTTGATCTAATACAAAAATTTGTTGATCTATGTATTGTTGATGCACATAATCTTCAAATGGATGTTGTTTGTAGCGTTGAACGAAAGCAATTTCTTGAAAAGCAAATGAGTTATACACCAATACCATATAGTGAAATATTTATGAACGAAAAATCAGTAATATTAATATCTGGAATAGCTGGTATTGGAAAAACATGGTTGCTCAGAAAGTGTTTGTTTGATTGGTCAAATAATTTAATTTGGAATAATGTTGAACTTGTGTTTTACTTGGAATGCAGGAGGCTTAATCAATATCAAAATGTTTCGAATATTAATGAATTACTAAATGTTTTCTACAAACATATTTTAAATGATTTTGATATTAGTAAGCATACTACATTGTTTATAATTGATGGATTAGATGAATTTAAATATTTAAATGAATTATTAAATCCAAATTTAAGTTGTAACTTTCCGATTGTTAATGCTTTAGAAGAAATTCAAAGTTATAAACATGTAGTTGCTGGTAGAGTTTATGCAATTGATAAATGCCAAAATATATATACAGAGCATATTGATAAGTTAACCATTCAAATAATGGGGTTTAACCAAGATGGAGTTGAAAATTATGTAGAACATCATGTTTTAGAAGAAAAAAAAGAAGTTCTTAAAGCAACTTTAAAGGAGTCTCCAATTGCAAAAGTTATGGCAACTGTTCCGTTTTATTTATCTTCCATGTGTAAAATTGTTTAAGCATACAATTGTTTAAGCTTTGAAGAGATTATGGCAAATAAAAAGCTGAAGAGTTGTTTATCAATGATTTGTGGATTAAGCAATAAAAACCAAAATATTTTATTAAAGTTTCTTGTTAACCTGAATCCTTCTAAAAAATCAAAAGAGGAGTCTTCACTTTTGGTTTCTATTTTGGGTAAGTAAGTAATTTGTTATTAAACTTTGGTGCATATTTGATAAATATACATATGTACAAATGTACAAATTTTGTTTAATGTCATTTTTTTTAAAGAGAAAACATATAATTATTAAAATATATCATAAAAATATTTTTTATATTATTTTCTTTTAAGCTTTTTTTTTTTTTTTTGATTAGTAGCTATTTTATTTATTTCATTCTCTACATTGATTTGATATGATTTACTTTTTTTTTTTATTACGTGTGTTTAACAATATTTAGCAACTGTTTTAGGGAAATTTTGATAAATATGTCAATGTTCTTTTTTTCTGCACAAGTTGCTTGACACAAATCTTTATGTATGTATATTCTTTCTTAAAATATATCCATTGAAGTACTCGGTGTAGTTAAGTCACCTTTAAAATATTTTAGCATCTGTATGATAATTTGTTGACTATGAAATATTTTGGTTAAATAGTCAGGTCTGTGAATTATGAAAAGACGAAAAAAAATAAAATGATAAATTTTTGCGGTACCTTGAAATATAAATGTTTGTAGGGAAAAAACCCAGACCAAAGTTGTTTTTTTTTTAAATTATATTAAAATCACAATCGCTCATTCAAATTTTAATAAGATTTTAAATTAATACGTTTTTAGGTGAAATGAACATTATAGTTTAACAAAATGATCTGTTCTGTTGATTTATTGGCAATTTTCCATAAATATAAGCTATTTTTTGGTTGGAATTCTGGTATTTTTTGTAAAAATTGATAAAAATATTGTGTTTAGACAACTATATATAGTTAATATATGTCTGAACCAATTAGAACTAGGATCAGTAGTAAATTAAGGAACTTTTTTTAAAAAATTGAACTAAATTCGAGTTAATGCTGATGAGCGAATTTAATCTAAAGAAAGTGTTCTTTAGATTCACAATTACGGGTAGTAAAAAGGTTTTGAAAATTATATAAAAAAAAGAAATGTTTCATTAAATATTAAAAAACCCTGAAGCGAAAAAAAATTATACCATCTAAATCTTTTGTTTGGACATAATACGCTGATATAATCATGCTAATTCCAAATAAAAGTTTTTGAACAATTTGTAAATGGCCGAGTATGAACCTTAAAGTAAAGTATGAATAAATGGTTTATTTAATTTTTTTTTTTAATAAAAATAAAAAGCTTTGTTTATACAGATTTATCATTTCATAACTATGCTGAAAAAAGTTAGCCTAAACAGTAAAATTTATTTTAATTTACATTTTTAATTACTTTTGATGTAAATAAATTTTCAAATTATTTTTTTAATTTATATATTTTTCAAAAAAATGATCAATTTTGTCTAAAAAATTAAAGTAAACAATTTTTAGACAATTATCAAATTCACAATCATAATTAAAGCTCTTTTCGAGTTATCACTATTATCACATTTATTAACTTGAATGTTTTTGTGTAAATTAACTTGAATTTCTTTGTGTCAATCTATTGAAATATTTGTAATTACAAAAGTCATTTATCACATTTATTAACTTAAATATTTTTGTTTAAATTAACTTGAATTTCTTTGTGTCAATCTATTGAAATATTTGTAATTACAAAAGTAGCACCTCATTCTGTATAATAAAACCTATATCCCTAATATCATTATGACATAGCCACAGCTGTTTTTTTTATATCTTGCTTGTATTTTTATTTATCTTATTTTTCTTCTTTTTCTTTGTCTTAAAGTAAAATCTTCTGCTTTAAGATCTCATTACCTTAAACTTATTGATCAAACTTGTTTTTTTTACTGCCAATAACATTCTTCTTTGTCATTTGTTAATACTGCTGTTTGTTTTTCTTGTTAATACTGCTGTTTGTTTTTCTGGTTTTATTAATCTTCTCAGTGTTTGATTAATAAAACCAGTTTCTTATTTTTTGTACAGAATTACCATATATGTATTTATACTATATATATTTATCACATTATAATTTAAACTTTATGTAGGTTTATAATTTTTTAAACCCTTTAGCTGGTGTAGAGCTAATGAATATAAAAGATATAAACCAGTTGTTTTTTTTGATTAAATAATTTTTTAAATAATTCTTTAATTATTATTTTTTCTTTGTAACATTATTATCTGTGTGTGTGACCTTCTATGTCTTTATAACTTAATAAAATTAAGTTATAAAGACATAAAAGTTAATAAAATTTTCAATTAAAAAAGTAAGTCTGCTTTTGGTTCAACTTTATTTAACATTGATAAGATTGATTACATTTTTTGGAGCTCACCAGTGGGTTTTTCTAAGCTGCTAGTACCTGTTTTTAATTAAAGAAGATGTGAATATAAAATAATAAAAAAATAGTTAAAAAGCTATCGGTCTAACAAATCAACTAAACTCGTTTCTCCGCGCAGCGGCCTTGCTCGTCAAAGTTCGTGTTTCGGAGTTATAGAGTTGAGAGAGGGTTATAACCACAAATAAGTAGCTTCCTCGTCTGTAGTTGGCCTTCTCGGCTTTGAGGAAGTGAATTAAAATAAAAAAATATATATATATATATATATATATATATATATATATATATATATATATATATATATATATATATATATATATATATATATATATATATATATATATATATATATATATATATTATGACTAAAATTGTTTGCAACTGAGTTGAGTGCAAAATTTATTTCAGTAAATATTTATCCTGTATATTAATTATGGAAATATGATAATATTAGTTGTGAAAGTAACAAAATAATGATTATATAATAATTCATTTTCAATGCTTTTAGCGCTTGAGTACTTGTCATATCCATAAAACATTTTAGCACATTTCTTGTAACGAGTCTGGCTTTATTATAGTATTTGCACAAAAATTAGTCCATAGAGCCACAAAAACAGAGGCAGTAGGATATATATTGTTGCACTTAAACCTTAATCAAGTATATCTTGAATATTCTAATTAATGTTTGTACCCATATAAAGACATTTCATCTCTCGATTTATATCAGCATTATCAAACAAACCATTTTCTATTATGTGACCCAGATACTTGAATTTGTCAATGAAACTAATTCACATCCAGCTAAGGTAAACGGTGCAAAGTTGCTTAACACATTCTTACATCTCTGTTTTGGTTTAAATACCATGCACACCGTTTTTTTGTTGTTGTATTAAATGGCATGTTAATGGCAGTGGCTTTAACATTCAATGCAGTTAATAATTTTGCAATGCAAACCAAGATGGAGCACTCAATACAATATCGTCGGCATATGCCAAAAGATTCAAATTTTACCTATGTAACATCAATATGCATATTCGTAATATTGAAAATCAGTGTTCTTATATAAAATATGAACAAAAACAGTGAAAGATTTCCACCTTGCTGTACACAATTACTTATGCTAAAGCTGTCAGAGTTTACTTTCTGCCATCTGACAAACATAGTTTGATTCTTGTACCAAAATGCAAGTAGATAGGCAATATTTATGGCAATACCCTGATCAATTAATTTAAAAACAGTTTCAGTATTATTTAAACAGTATTATTTAAGTCTTTTTTAAACAATATGTACAAGACATTGTGGGATGACTTTTCTTGAAACCAAACTGAAAATCATCAGCATTCTCATGAGATATGATTCTTTCTAATCAAATACCTTCAAATATTTTAGAACAAGCCGGAGAGTCCTCCATATATAAATGATTCCATAAACAAATCATCTGGTCCAGCAGATTTTCTCTTTTTTTGCTTTAGAGATACCTGTTAGAGTTCTCTTTTTTTGCTTTAGACATACCTGTTAGAGTTACTAACAGGTATGTCCAGTAGTGCATTCTTCACTACTGGACATACCTGTTAGTAACTCTAACAGGTATGTCCAGTAGTGAAGAATGCACTTTCTGTTCAACCTGTATTCTATGCTGGTTATCATTAAGTGAATTATATATTGTTTGGAAATGTTTCTTCCATATAGTGGCAATGTCCTTGTCACCAGTAACTTTGCCAATACTAGCAATATGATTGGTTGCCTTAACATTATTGATATTCTCTGTAACCTCTGTCAGCTTTAATTTGCTCAGTATGATTTTTACAGTGCCTAAAAGTTTAAATACTGTTCGAGTTTTTTTCATTCTTTCAAAGATAATTATATGTTTAGGTTTTCCATCAATTACCCATTGTTTGAATGCATCCCTGCATTTTTTTTTTTCTTAACTAAAGCTCATTCATACAATATGTAAGGCACTCTCTTTAAGTTTTCCTACTACCACTACCATTTTCTACTGAAGCTGCTACATCTCTATATGCTGATGCTTAAATTCCTTTATCTTTGTTTAACATTGTTCAATACAATGTTTTGTTGAATCTGTCTAAGATTATGCCTTCTTTTTTATATCACACCACACATCCATCTGTTTAGTCGCACCACACATTCATCTGATCGTTTTTTACTTTTCACAAATACTATTCCATAAATTCTAAACTTTATATAACAATGAAAAGATATTGTATGCCTGCATCTAAATAAATAGTAATCAGATATGTTTATATCCATAATATGTATGCATAAAATGCATCTAGGAAACTTTTAGCTTTTCTGAAATAAATGTTTGGAAGCTTTTATTACTTCTCTTCAATTTTAATTCAAGCCTCATTATACTCCACATTTTTCATCATCTTGAGCAGTTGCTTATTAAACAATAATGATTTTTTTTCATTTTTTTTACAAGAACTTCTCTCTTAAGAACAAATTTTCTTTTATTATTGCGAAAAGCTAACTTTAAAAAAGTCCTGTCTGATGTTAAGCTCTGTTATTCTCAGTTTACTAAATTTTTTTATCTTTCTCAGACGTTTGGTTCCAGAGACTTTAGGTTAGTCTTCAGTTTACTAAATCTTGTATCTTTCTCAGATGTTTGGTTTCAGAAACTTTTGATCTTCAACATTGTCGTTAACTAAAGTCTAACATTTAATCTCTAGTTCATGTGTTTTTTTTACTTCTTCTCAGAATAAAGCAGATTTATTTGCAAAGA